CATCGGCTTATATATATATATATATATACATATATATTATTCATACCTTTGGTGTATAGGATGCAAGCAGATTTTGACATCAAATTTTGGGGTAAAAAAGTGCATCTTATACACCAAAAGATACGGTACTTCAATTCACCCTGGTGGTTAGGGTACTCAACTTGCACTCTGCTTGTCCTGTCACTGAATATGCTCACCCTTTCAGCTGCAGGGGTGTTATAATGTGACAGTCAATCCTACTTTTTCCGTGAAGTATTAAATGTGTGAAAGATCGAGTGATTGTTGATTGAGTTAGTGGTTCTCAAAACTACTAAATAAATGAGTCAACATTTATTATCAATCAAGGAAGTTTCTTTTACATTTTGTTAGTGTTGAACTTAAGTCTAACTTGTTAAGTGGTTGTAGAAATTGAAGAAAGAAGAAATTAATTTACTATTGTTATGTGGACTGGATCTTGCATTATTTTTATGAAAAGAATCTATTCAATGATAGAACATGTTACAAGGATGTATATATTGTAAGATAAAGTTTGAAATTAACATTTTAAAAACCTTAAACATGCCATAAAACCAACTTTGTACACATTTATGGTAGAAATTATTACAAATTCAAACAGGATAATTATTACAAAAAAAACTACAAAAGCATGTACAGTACAAAGAGTTCTTCCTAACAGATGAGGGACCATTCTTCACACATAAAGCTAGTTTTCTTTTGTAGTTGATTTTGTGTTCTAAAGATAACCTTCTTGATGTACACACAAAAACTTTGTATACTAATTATACCTTAATGACTAAATATTGTTCCATCAACTGAAGTTTGTTTGTTGAATTTTGTGCAACGCTACTTGAAGGCTATCTGCACTAATATTCCCTAATTTTGAAGTTATATACTAAAGGAAAGGCAGCTAGTCAACGTTACCCACTGCCAACTTTTGGGCTACTCTTTACTAATAGTTCTCAATCACTTCTCAATAAATACTTCACTGATGTAGCTGCTTGTATTAAACTAATGTACCTATGTTTAGATGTCAGTCAGTTTCTCATTCTTAACAGCAAGTACCGTATAGCTAAAGATCTAAATTAAAACATCGGTAACTTAAGTTTAAGATTAAGTTACTTACATTTTTCAGAAGGTTTATTTGGCCAAGAACACAAAAGAAGTCTTTCCTCTCAGTTTTTGCACAGGTAAAAGTTAAAACATTTGATATAATATATTCATTATAATAAGGAAAATATTTTGTTGCTTATGCTTGCTACTAACAGTTATATTTAGTAGTACATTGTCCTTTTACTTCCAAATCAAAATTTTAATTCTGCCATTTTTATTTAAAAAATGTGCAAAGCTAAATGGTGTGATATTTTTGTGTAAAAATATTCTTAATCCATTAGTTAAATTTTTTTACAGTATCTTGAGTTAATTTTAATGTTTGCAGGTGGCTTTGTAGTCAGTTGCTTACAATTTTTCTCAAGTTTTACATTAAATTCATTTGTTTTTACTTTGATCTATTTATTGCTTATTATGAAACCCCGTCATCATCCTTTATCACTTAAATTTATTGTATCATAAGGTTTTAGATTCCTTATTTGTTTTTCACAACTGTGTAGTAACTTATAATAGTTCAGAGCTTAAGTTTCAATTGTAATATTTTCAAAAACAGTGCAATTCAAACATACAGGCACTTCTTATAGATTTCCAATCTCAACATCCTGATGACTATGCAACTTTAAATCATATCCACTTAAAGACTATAAAAATGGAGTTGAAATAGAATTGGAATGCTTGTGTTTGAGCAGCCTAGAATATTCATTTCACAGAGCTTATTTTATAATTAAAACTGTTAGAATATGTAACCTGACTCAAAGAACTGATGCATGAATGAAAGTTCAATATCTTTATCACAGTTAATTAGATGAGCTGTAATTATAAGCTTGCAGTAAGCATTTTAATAAAGTGAAATATTGCATCTATATTTTGTTTACCATATTAAGTATACGTTTTTGCTCTGATGTTTAAGTATTACAAAAATAATAATTTAGTATACTTCAAAGTTATTCTGTTTTATTAATATTGATTGTGAACTAAATTCATTATTGAAGTACATTAGTTAACTTGTTATACTTTGAACAAGGATATTGTTAGAACATGTATTTCATAATCAGTTACAGAATACTTTTGGAAGTGTGGGTGTTGGTTGGTCCTGTTGTAGAGCTCAGAAATTTGAAGATGATGATGTTAGGCTGAGTTCAAATCTATGAGATACTGCAGAAAGAGTGCATTGAGTCCCTTAGTGTGTATGTTGGATGGTAGGTTGTTACTGACTGTCTACCTTCCCTTTGGTCATTTGTTCAAAATTTATGATGGCAACAGGTAACCTCTGTAGCTTTGCTGTAAATACAATTGCATATGGAACTAAGCTGATAGTAATTAGTTGGATATTTTGCTTAAGAAACTGTGTATTAAAATCATGCAGGTAAAAGTGCAAAATTAAAATTTCCAGATTAACCATCTATACACAGGTTTGATTAAATTGACTGACCCCACATCAGTGCATAATGTATACTATATTCTGTAATTTACCAAGTGTATCTTCATGGAAGTGGGCAAGCTTTTAATGAACAATACAAATCTGTTGTACACACACAAATCAGTTTTTAATAAAGTATTTTTTTTAAGATAAATATTGGTCTGTGAATTTACAAAGCCTTTACTGAGTCAGTATTAGTGAAAGGTGATTTTATGCTAAGAAAAGAAAACATCTTGCAGCTTTCATATTTGGTTTGCTTAATGTCTAGAATATTTTAAATGAATAAAAATTTGTATTAAAAGGCTACATAAAAAGACTTGTAAAGAAAAATGCTTTTCTGAAATTTAGATGAAACTTAGTCTTACAGAAATATTAAAGTAAACAACTCTTAGAAGGAAGCAAGTTTTAATCGTCCAAAACAAGACAGAGTTGATCAAGGAAAGATGTACTATTTCAAAAGGGTTTACACCTTAGAACCAATAAAACTTGGTGTATGAATGGTTTATATACAACAGTAGAATCTTTAGTTGTCAGTAGTAGTAGATTGATTGTACTTAACATTTTTGTTTGTAGGGCATTGGTGAATTTGTTTTTATCATTTCTGAGAAATGAAGAAGGCAAATATTGAAATTTCCAGTTAATACAGCAGTAAAACAATGTTTTTCTTAATTAAAAAAAAATCTCTAACACAACTTGCATACTGATGAGAATTTGTTTTTAAAGATTGTAGAATGCTAAACATTTAACATGTGCTGCAAATAAATAATGAATTTAGTTATTAAAGATTATTGATACAAAACTCACTCGAGTTAGAGAAAAAATAAATTGAAATTTATTTTTAGATTACAATAGTTTATAATCCTTTTTTTTTTATTAATAGAAGTAAATGAAAAGTGGATCTTATTCACAAAATTAAAGGTTACCTAAAGCTATTGTTACAACTAATGTTAATATAATTTTTTCAGATAGGTATTTATCATACACAGCTGGGTAAGATAGAAAAAATACAATTTGTTCGGGAGGAAAACAAGTTTTTTTTTGTTTTTATATTACTTAGTATAGATTTAGGTCTAGTATTTGCCAGCAAGTTAATGTCTATCAGTAAGCTAAACCTTCTTATTTGCATCTCTCCATTATTAAATACAATGTAAAGCTTACACACACTCTGCATCAATTTTATTTATATAGAGATGTGATGGGTAGAAGGGAGTAAGCTCCAAATAACTTGTATATTAAGCATCCTATTGACATGATAAAAATTGTTGAATACTAACAGAACACTACACCCAAAATATCAGGCACATTTAAATTTCATTTCCACACTTATTCAAAACACTTACCTTGAAGTTTTTTTGTTGTTTTTTTATCAGGATTTAACCTTTAAGTTTTAAATCATTGTTGAAAAAATTTGATACGTGCTTATAAGTTTCTAAATAAAAGGAAATGCACATTGAGCAACACTAAATAATAACTAATTTCAATCTTTAACAATCTGTTTTTGCCTACATGATTAAAGTAATGATCACAGCTGAACCAAAAATACTTTGGAATTTACCTTATTTTTTTACTGCTGCACAAAGTCATCAGGAAAATATGAACAGATTGTAAATTTTTACTTTAACTTAATGAAAAATAAGTGGCAGCACAATTCAGGTTACTCTAAAGATATCAGAATTACAGATTTTAAATACAAAAATCACGTTTTTTAATGTTTAATAGCAAAGATATGTAAATGTTTTATTCCTCCCCCAAAGAGAGTTCAAGCTGTGTACATCTTATGAACTTCATCATCACAAGATATTCCCATTCATAGTCTTTGCATGTACTTCAATTTATGCTTAAGTGACTATCAGTTGTGATCAACATTTGATGTCTATAAGGTTTTGCCAACTATGAAGACAAGTGGTACCTGCTGCTGTGTATCAACCACAGAGCACAAGTGTTTAAGAATAATATTTAGTCTTGCATCATATAATTGCCAAACTATTCTGCAATCATTGAAAAAAAAGTTTTATACATGTGTTTCAAATGCATCATTATTATAACTAGAATATATATATACCTGAATCATCTTTTTGAACTAACATGCAGCATATCTGCTGTCCTACACAAGTCAACTATTTCTCAGTTCACCAAATTCAAACAAGATTAATACAAAGACTTTGATCAGGCAACATTTTAAGTGCACATTCTGTACAAGCTATTTTTTTTTCTTATCATTGCAATAGCATCTTCGCATTCTTGTAAAAGTCTGTGAAACACATCTTTGTAATTTTTCAGTGCTTGGTTGTTTCTCTTGAATTCACTTTCTAGACCTAGAAGAAATATGTTTCATTAGGCATTGTAAATTCAAAACAAAATATACAACAACATTTATGTAATTCAGGGATAAGCCAACCACACAGTTACCTGATCTCCACAACTAGATATTCAATGATTTAGTACGAGGAAGTATAGGTCTTGTGATAAATTGAAGAACTGCTAATCATAAACCAATTGAACTGTAGTGCTATTACAAATTTGAAATAAATGGATAATTGTCTTAAATTAATAAATGAAGGAAACTTGTATTTAGTTAAGGATAAAATAATCTTGAAAATATGCAAAAAAATAAAACATAAACAAAGAGCAGAATAGGAAACAAAGACATGACTTGACAAACAAGTCTAGCTTTTTTCATGACAGAAATAACTTCTCACCCCTAGAGAGAAGAATAACATGTTTAAAAGACCACATTCATGATTTACTTACTCTCTAGCTGACCAATCAGAAAACTGGATCACAACAATCCAGAAGTATGTCTAATCCATGTGACAATTACAAAGAATTCCCTAATACAAAAAGTAAAATACAGTACAAGTATTCTGCAATCACACTCACATCAGAATAGAAAGTAACTCATTATACTGAATTATCACACAACAATGACTGCATTTGGCATCCTCTCGATTAGACCTTTAAAAATTTAAAATATTTTACAAATATGAAATTACTGTAAGAGAATGAGGTGTAGTATTTATATAATATAAACCATGAATATATCTTAATTATCATTTAAGAATGCATACATGTAACAGGGCTTATCATCATGTAAAATGGCCTGTTATCTGTGCAATTTATTTGAAACTACCCACATACAGTGTTGACCTCTAATAATTATTCAATCTCAAACTATTCCACCATTTTCATAATGAGCTATTGTTTTATTTTCTTATCAGAACTATTATTTTCTTAACTAAGGAATGCAGATGAAAAAAAAATATTCAGTTGTTCATAATATGAAAGTGTTTGTTCACAAGTTTTAAACCACAATTTAGAGAAATATACATTTTTAGAATGTTCAGAGTATGCCAATAAAACTTATCATTCACTCTCAGTTCATCCACGAAGAAGTAATGTATACTGTTGTCACTTCCTACTCATTTTCCCAATTATCAATCAAGAACTAATAACTACACATACTTTTTCCCACACTTCCTGTCTATAGCATCAAGGATGATGATGATGATGATGATAATAATAATAATAATAATAATAAAAAAAATAAAATAAAAAAACTTTGGTTAATAACACACCAATACTACACATTTCTAAACATTTTTATTCACTTTCCAAAATACTGTTTCCAGCAAATAGTACTTTATTAATGAGAACCCTTTTAAAATATTATTGAAATAATAACAAATGATGTGTGTGGGGTAAATGTCTGGGTTCTTAACAAATTTTACGTTAAACTGGCAAGAGGGGAAAGAATGAATTAGATGATAACCAAGTTGTCCCAGGAATATTTTTTTCAATCAATCATTTTAATTCTTCACAATACACCTCAACAGTTGTTGCTTGTTTATTGGGAAAGCAAATGTTTCTTACTTAACAACTCATGATAATTCCTTGTTGCAAAGTCAGCTAGTTCAATAGCCTTTTTCTTCAGTTTTTCTTTAAGATTTCTCTTCTCATTAAGAGCTAATTCTTTCTGAATCAAAAGGTTTTCTGCTCTATTGCATTCTTCCTCTAAAAGTTCAGCATCCTGTGATTACATTATAAAACAAAGTATACCAAACCAATAATCATGTTATAAAAACAAGCATTACATCAGGAAATGTTGAGAAACTACATTACTGTAGAACAATCAACAAAAAATTACTATCAAATATGTAACTACTTGAAAATAAAATGCTCCCCAAACACTATGCAGGCTTGACAAACATCACCTGCATGTGATACAAGTACTGGTTAAATATTTTTAATATACCTTATCATATGCCACCTTCTTACAGGGACCATTCTTTCTGTCCCTCAGGAAGTGTTTCAAAATTAGAGTAGTTCATTTAATTTGAAACCAAAGCATTTTAAAATTAAACTTGTAGGGAATTGAACTTAGATCTGAGGCAATACCAATTTTAAATGGATTAGGTTTACAATAATCAAAATTATTTAAAAGTGGCCTACTGTTACAATAATCTAAGTTTGATTCTTTTTAGACTTCATTCAAATCAAAAAATATTTCTTTGTGAACTAAACAAAAGAACAGTTGTGACTACAATTCTTGGAAATAACTTTAACCATGACGCACATTATTGGTCATATATATGTAACGTTTTTAAAATATGTACTACTCATTAGTTTCCTATAAGTAACACAATGAGTAGTGTGTAAAAGTAGCACAGAAAAAGCAACAACTGTAAACAGCAATATGAAAAAATGTGGCCTAACCACGGATATATACACACAAACTGCATATACAAGAAAATAATACAGATTATATAGCTAAGATTCTAAATTAAGATGACATACTAAGTTTTAAAATTTATTTTTTTGTTTTTAATTTCACACAATAGTTTCAATGCAGAAACATTTCTGGAAATATGTGAATCTAACTTGATCTCCAATACAAAACTTGCCAATACATTTTGAAAAGGAAATTTTTAATAAGTTTATAACATGCAAAATCAATATAAACACTCAATGTACATTTTCTGCTGTTTCTGCCAATTCTGGTATACTTTCCATTTCTTCTACAGCTTTGTTTAAGAAATATTCATTTGTTGAGTAATTTTTGTGGAGTTCATCACTTTTTTCTTCCAAACTTTCAACAATCCTTGTCAAGTTTACACTTACAGCATTTATTTCTGGAGTTTGGTTCTCCATCTACAAATGAATTACAATGTAAGAAACAACTCAGTTTCATACAACAAAACAAATATTTCAGTATTATTTCTATTCTTCAGGGCCAAGGGTTTAGAAGAAAAGCATGTAGTTAATGGTACATGAATTACACACCAGAAAATTAACTAAGAACATCCTTTATTAGATTATAGGACTAGTTCCAATATACAAGCCAGATACATTACAAATAAAGACTTTCTGATAAACATCTATATCTCCAAAATAACTAAACATAACTGTAACTGCATATCTATTGAACTAATTCTACATCTCATTAAAAGTAACATGTCAGAAAAAATAGTATGAAAACAATTTTTACTTATCCTAAAAAATTCAAAGTTAGTTCATTTATCATATCCAGAATAATTTAAAAATCAATAATTAATCCATAGAAGTTAGTGAATTAATTAAAAATGGGTTTTGCAACTGTTATATTACCTCTACAAGAACATTCTCTGTAGTTAACATGTGGCCCTTGCCTTTATCGATAAATGTTGCAACATGTTCTAGCATGTCATTGGCTTCATCAAGTACTTTTGTTTTGGCTACTTCCAAGATGGCATCAGTGTCATTTCTAATGGAAATGACATGTTTATTGAAAAGACAACAACACTAAAATATTCTAAAATAAACCTATAATTTCACAAAAATAACTCTTGGTTTAATGCTGGCTTTAGAATGATAACATGCAAAAATATTTCAGTAGTCATCAAGTACATCTTCTACTTTGTTTTTCTAGTAGGAGTAATAGCTTGACATCTGTACAATTTTACCAAATTGGTGCTAGTGCTATGTTTGGCTTAATTTTGTGCTTAATGAAATTTACTATTCAATGTATTCTAACTAAATAGGAAGAAAAGAATAAGATTATGCTACCCAGGGGCACAGGTGGAGGATATAACTGGCAGAGCAGGAGATACAAAATAGG